TCGTCAGCCTCGCCGGCAGCTCGCTCGTCCCGTCCGTCCTCGTCGCCCGCCGAACATTCCGGGGGGTCTGCCGAGTTCAACGCCGACGATGTCCCCGTCGAAGTCCTCGTCAAGCATTTGCTGGCAGCCAAGCAATCCCTATCGTCCATGACCCTGGTCCTCCGGGCAAACGACCTCGCTACACACGCACGGCAACTGCACGAGGAGTCAGTCATCCTGACTGCCCAGACCGGATTCCTGCGGCATGGCATCAACGACCAGATAAGGATACTACGGGCGGTTAGGAGGGGGATGACGAGGGCTTATGATAGCGGGAAGAGGGAGTTTAAACACTTGCTGCGAACGCTTGACGGCGCGAATGCAAGGCTCGAACAGACAATAGGCATGCTTAAGAAGACCATTGTCGAAAGCGTCTTTAGACCGCCCGGGGAGCAAGGAGAGAAATGCCTACTGGATTTCGTGGACGAGCAGAGCGTAGACACTATGAGGAACGCGCTCAAGCAGAGTATCGCCGAGTTACAGGTCAGTCATCCCATCACTACATGAAGTTTGGGGGGTGCTAACAGTGTTTGGCGGGTGTAGGCAGCGCAAACGTCGTTTGACGGCGACCTATCAAGGTTCGACAACGACCTCCGTGTACTCAACAAGACCATGTCCAACGCAAACCCGGCTTCGCCGTCGAATTCGTCGTCTGCATACAAGTCGATGCCGCATTTACTGGCAGCGCTCACGAACCACTCCCACGACATGGCTGAACACCTGACCTCGTTAAACAGGCACTTTGACATGTGTGTCACGGCAGTGCGGACAACGGAGGGGGGTGCGGCGCTGGCACGCCGGAAAGCCGCTGAGGTCTCGCCCGAGGAAGGAGGCGTTTCAATATCCGGCGTCATCACCGAACAGGAGTCAAATATGGCGGAGCTGGCGGAACCCATGGACCCCCGTGAAAGGGCAGAGATTGTCCAGGTCGTGGTGCAGGACGCTCCAGAGGTCGACGAGGTCGTGGCGGAGTTGCAGGCCGTGCTGCAGCAGATGGAGCTGGATTTCAGCATACTTAAGGAGCAGGCGGATAGGATCAAGTCGGCGTACCTCAGCACCATAGCCGCGTTCCACGTTCTCGAGGATATCGGGTCAAGGTTGAACAGCTACGTCGCGGCAGAGGCGGAATACGTGCAGAGGTGGGACGATGAGAAGGGCATCATCTTTACTAAGCTCGAAGAGATGGATTCTCTCAGGACATTCTACGAGGGATACGCCAGCGCCTACGACAGTTTACTTCTCGAAGTGGAAAGGAGACGGTCGGTCGAGGAAAAGGTACAGGCCACGTGGCGTAAGGCCAAGGAAAGCGTTGATAAGCTCATCGAAGCCGACAGAAAAGAGAGGGAGCATTTTAGGCAGGAGATAGGGGAGTTCCTGCCGACGGATCTCTGGGTCGGCATGAATGGGCCACTCAGAAGATGGGAGATTATTCCGGTTGAGGAAACCGAGACCCCGACCCCAACGGCTACGGAAGTAACGGATTCAAGGGGGAGTAGTAGTAAGAGGGAGATCACGCCGGCGCTTCTGGGTAGGACGCTTAAGGAATGCAGGCTTGGTAAGATGGCTGGTGCAAAATAAACTTCTGCTTGGGTATGGAAAGGATATCGGCGTTGATGGTATGGTTTTGGTTATACATACCCCTTTTTCTTCTGGCTTTCTTTTTATTTGTCGTTCCACTGGCTGCGTTTACATTGACGTTCGGTGTCCTAGCGGATGGTGTTCGATATGTGTGACTGGGATTATATAGCGTGTTGGGGTATACGGCGTATGCACTGATGCTTAGGATGGTGATATTGGTACTTCAGAATGCTACGGCTTTGCAACCTCAACGGCGGACCATCATGGTTGCCCATCTCACGAGTTCCTGCCCCCTCTTCAAACCGGAATCACAATAATCTCGCCATGAAGCTTCCGCAGCTAACGTATTATACAGCAGCCTTGGGCAGCCAATTCGTTTGTCGGGTTAGTATCGTCTCTGAGTTCTCATATGTATGATCTTCATCACTAACAATACTTCGTCAATCTCCCGTGTCAAAACCAAGAACGCAATCTGCCTCACCTCTCGTCAGCTAGCTTAGCTTATGTGAGTGTTCACCAGAATGGCCTTGCGCATCTTTACACTCCAGAAAATGCGTCAAGCTGACGCCAATGCTAAGAGATGTCGCGTGCACGCTCGTGGGGACACGAACCGTGGTTGGTACCTTGCTTTACGCCATCCTAAGCCGCCACACCGCGGTGCAAACTCCCCGGAAGATCGCAATAGCTTTTGCAGCATTGGAGTGAGTCAGAATGAGTTCGCACAAGTCTCTGCATCCGGGCCCGCCGTGCCTAAGATCTTGGGGTGGGAGCATGCGTTCGTTCGTCACTGTCTCTGACACAATCAGGGCTTCTCTTCCACTGTGAACTCGCTTACAAAAGGAATGGGCTGGGCGACTCCCTGACGTTCTTCGCAGTTGACTCACCCGCACACGAGGCCTAAAAATTTGGCGTCTGGGCCTTATTCGAAGCTTACTCCCCGTCAACCCCGCGGACGATAAGATAAGCAAGCGGCGTTCAGCCCACCAAAATTTAGGATCCTTATATGGCGATATCCGATCGCTGCCTTCTAACACGCAAAACCATACAGCAAGACAACACAGTCGTCAACATGGCTTCGTCGCAACCGGAAAGCACGACTGCTTCGGCAGCAGCTCCTCACCAGCCTCCCTACGTTTACAACGCGAATCAAGGGTACCAACCCACAGAAACAATACCAGCAGGACTCGCCAACACCACCCCGCGAAATGCCGAGCTTATAGACGAGGACGAAGAAGACGTCGAAGACATTTTCGACGAAGACGATGAGCTGGATGAGCAAGATTGGGACGCAGATGCAACCGATCTGACCAAGTCGTACAACCGCCAGCGCCAGCTCCATGGGCTCAACTCGCAGACCGATGGCCCCGCGGCGGTGCCCCGCTCAAACGCCCAGAAGCCGACAGCGAACACATTTGCCAGTGTTGACGACCAAATATCGGCGCTGTCGAAGCACGCCGCCAAGATCAGACTCGACGATGTCAAACAGACACAAGATCGCGAGAAGGACAAGGCAGACCGCGCCACAAGCGAGTTGGTGTTGGACCAGCGCACACGGATGATCCTGCTCCAGATGATCAACCGCGGTGTCGTCAGCGAGATACACGGTGCCATCAGCACGGGTAAAGAAGCAAACGTTTATGGCGCCGTGTTGCACCCCGAGGACGGAGGCGAGTCGGTGCAAAGGGCGATCAAGGTCTACAAGACAGCCATTCTCGTGTTCAAGGACAGAGAGCGCTACATCACGGGCGAGCACCGCTTCAAGGGCGGGTCGGACAAGGGCAACAACCGCAAGATGGTCAAGCTATGGGCGGAGAAGGAGTTCCGCAACCTGCGACGTCTGTACGTCTCCGGCATCCCCTGCCCCGAGCCGCTCAAGCTCAAGCTGCATGTCTTGGTGATGGGATTCTTGGGAGACAAGCGCGGATGGGCGTACCCTCGACTGCGCGACGCCAACATTTCTGGTGACGACGCGGACGGCCAGTGGAGGAACCTCTACATCCAGCTCGTGGGCGTCATGCGCCGGCTCTACCAGGTCTGCAGGTTGGTGCATGCCGACCTGAGCGAGTACAACATTTTGTACAACGACAAGAAGCTGTACATCATCGACGTGTCGCAGTCCGTGGAGCACGACCACCCCCGAGCGCTCGAGTTCTTGAGGATGGACATCAAGAACGTGGGAGACTTCTTCAGGCGGCGTGGCGTCGACATCCTGGCCGACAGGACCGTCTTCAACTTCATCACTGCCCCTGAGGGCCCCGTGGAGGAGCCGGCTCTGTCGCAGGCGGTCAAGCATCTCTACGAGATCCGACTGGCGGTCGCAGATACCGACGAGGCAGCTGCCGCTGAAGAGGTCGACAACGAGGTGTTTCGCAACCAGTTCATCCCGCAGACACTCGAGCAGGTGTATGACATGGAGAAGGATGCGCAGAAGTTGGGGACGGGTCAAGAAGGCGATCTCGTCTACCGGAATCTGCTGGCTGACCAAGTGGTTTTGCCCAAGGCAGATAAGGTTGATGGCTCTACTGCAGAGGAGGAGACTTCTGAAGAAGAAGATGACTCCGAAGATGGCGCTGCTTTAAGTGGTGACGACAGCGAAGTAGACGAGAGCCTGTTTGACAAGGGACGACCCCGGGGAAAGAAGTTTGAGGACAAGGACGAGAAGAAGCAGCACAAGCAGGCGGTGAAGGAAGCAAAACGCGAAAAGAGGAAAGAAAAGATACCCAAGGCTATCAAGAAGAAGCTTGTTGCCAAGACCAAGAGGGACAAGAAGTAGATTCTCTTGACTTTTTTTGTCTTGTCGGGTTTGGGTATGACCATGAGATGGGGCAGCAGCAATCGGATGACGAAAGCATATAAAAACACTACTGCTTGATGAGTTAATGATGCTTTGCGTATGTTTTGCGTCAAGCTGAACCCTTAGCACGAAGCTCCAAGCAGGTGGTCTGAGCAGCTGCACGTATACACAGAATGTGCAGTGGTTTTTTGCTATGACGACCAAAGAGAGCACTGACGATTTTGCTGTTGCCTTTTATTTTATGTCTTGTGTACCGTTTTATCTATGGCTTGATTAAGAGGTTATCATTAGATTTTTACAGTTTAGAAACCTTCGAAATAGATAAGCCGCTGTCTTGGAATTGTGCACCGATTAGTGTATGCTGCACGTTGGTAGTGAAGGCATTTAGTAAGTATCTTGTGGCATGTTTTAACTACGGTATCTCACGATCCCTTCTATAACCGTCACCAAGCTTCGTAATTTCACAAGCAAGGTGTTCGTTCGGTTCGATGGTGTAGTTGGTTATCACGTGAGCTTCACACGCTCAAGGTCTCCGGTTCGAGCCCGGGTCGAATCAAAATGTGCGCCGTTTATCTTTTATTGCTTGACAGGGATCATAGTATAGCGGTCAGTACTTCTCGTTGCGGTTGTGATTCTGTCTCTGTCTTATAAGATACAGCTACAACATATCCGAAAGGACCTAGGTTCGATTCCTCGTTACCCATCCCCTGCCGCTAGAAGGCAGAAACTGTGTTTTAACGGGCGGTGTCTCTTTTTTTTATAGAGGATATATATACCCACGCAATTAGTTAGAGACTCGAAAGTAAATAAACACTTAAACTTAAGTCAAGTCACTACAGGCTACTGTCGCCAAGGCACAAAGCTTTCGGACACAAATGAACTTAATTGCCTGCGTGAGGAACCAAGATCCCTACGCTCCATCGTGGCTACGATAATGGTATTTATACTAGACTATCTAGAAGTGACTTGTATTTGGATCTGTTGCATAGGGCTCTGTTACCACAGACCCCTCGGGCTTTGTAAGTCTTGGCAGTTCTGCCCACAGAGCCAGGTCTTGGCAAGAATTGGGCCATTGACTGGTCTCTGGGTTCCGAGGACGATGGCAGCCCCCCCCCCCCTCCCGCCACGACTCGGCTAGCGATTTGCAGAACTCGAGAGCGAGCCTAATTCCGGTCCATAGCGGTCCAACTAAGCGCTCGGACTCGCGCCTCGGGTCCTTTAAGAATGCCCTTAAAGTAACCCGGGGCAACTAAACTTCGGGTCCCGGAACTAGGCAAATTATAGATAGGGGTTTCGCGCCCACCGACTTGAGGGGTGAGCCCGGTCTCCTCAGGTAAAGTAATACACATCTTGTCTTGGCTCCCCATCAGGACTGACAGCCCACAGCTCATTAGCTCTTGAGAAGGTTGTGATAAACAAGCCTGGATAGTAGACACGGAGTAATTTTTGGGTTATTACAGTTTAAGCTAAAAAAAAAAACGGTCAACTTACTTTGTGGGTCGGAACAGACTTGAATGAAACTCATCCAAGCGCTTTTTTTTATTGTCCACCCGGGTACTTTACAATAAATAGCGTACCAGAGCATATGCACCGCACCGGGATACCCTGCACATCGCCGCTAGGCTCTAGCGGTGTGGTTTGAAGAGTCCCTGAGCAAATCGGTGTCGTTCGGAGCTTTGCGGAGGCTCATGTACTAGTACATATTCGAGGCCAGTGTGCTTTGTACCGGTATATTCTAAGCTAGTATGCTATGTCCCGGTATGTTCTAAGCTACGTAGTATATCATGTACTAGTATATTCCCGGAACCCTTATATCCATTCCCGTGACCAAGACCCAAAGCTCATAGCGCTAGGATCATGGTCGTGGATACAAGTTCTGCCTGGCTTACTCCCGTACTGGTCGTTACTAATCCTGTGAGCCGTGACCTCTTCCGCTGAACAGACTCTCGCACCTCTCCAAGTACTGCTTCCATTTGTGTACAGACACATTTCCAAACAATTTACGGTGTAACATCTGCTCCTGAATCTTCACCGCAATCCAACCGCTTGCTTTTACATCAGAGGCATCGCTGTCACGAAGAACAACGCACGTCCCACTGGCACGAAAGACGGGATCTGGAACCCTGAACCCGTCGGGGTATTGTTTCTCCAAGTCTTTAGCACTGAGGACGAAGACCTGAAGTAGAGCTTTGACATATCCTTCCTGCGCCAGCGGTACGGGGTCTCCTTCGTTGATTATGCTCAGGAACAGGCCCGACTGGAACGGATCCCGCGAAGGGGTTTGGATGGGTATGGTTGTGATCGGCGGGGCGCCGAACACGATGCAGTGCACCCGCCGAAAATCTGCAATTGATTTAGAGGTCCAGTTAGAAGGCTCTGCAAAACTGGTGAATCATGCGACGTACTGGGTGCGATGGTTGCGATGGCACGACGCGAGGACTCAGCGGACGTGGCCATCATGGCATAGAACAGCTGGGCCATAGCACCACCTGCCGAGTGACCTGTGAGAAGAAGATCGATATGCTGTGCCTTCAGTGCTGTAACCGTGGCCGCAATTCGTTTCGCGAGCTCCTCTTGCATCGCCTCGGCGACGGCGAGAAATCCCCGATGGAATTGGGCGGTTGCCAGTGTCTCTCCAAGGTCCTGGCGGGGGGGTGGGAGTTAATATCGGGACATAATAGGTATCTGAATCAGAGTGTTCCTTACTTGTGAAAAGATCGGCTCGCCATTTCCATTCACCATCCAGTCCATGATGCTGTCCGATCCTCGAACGGCAACAACCAGCACGTCGTCCACTACAGTCAGTCCCCAGAATTCTCTTCATGTCTTGACTAGGCTTTAGCTCAAAACCGGGCGAGTCTGGGGGCAGTTTGGGCGTTTTGGAGTACGTTTGCATCGACTTCTCGACGGCTAGTTGAATGAGTCTCCATGTGTCGTCAGACCTATTTACAAGTTAGCTGCAGCGAAAGGGCGGAGGTAGGACAAATGTCATGACATACCCTGTAAACTCCTCAACGTTGTCTGTTTCTTGTATCTCATGGATTGGTAGCCTCTCAACTCCGATGCGGTATTACTCGAGTGTACGTTGCTGCGTGGCGGTCAGGGCTGTGGACCTGTGTTAGTCGACGCGTTTCTGATCGAGGGAGTGGAAATAATGTTGCGGGAAAGGAAACCAACGGTCTGTAGTTTTGAGAAGTGTCTCCAGGAATATCGAAGCCTCGGCGAGGGCCTTCGATGTGCCGGTCGAGTGTTGCGAGGAACCAACCGACTTGGAGTTGGGTAGTCGTGCACTGCTCTCTAACGTCTTCCTTGCCGCTTTAATCCTGCATCGGTGAAGTAAGTGACCGAGTAGCCAATTCTTGATTCTTGTATCAGAGCCTTGCGCTGGTGTACCCGAAGGCTCTTTGGGAGTTTGGGAATTTCCCATCTTTCGGGTCACGTTTGGGATTGGCTCGGCTGGAGTCAATCGTTTCGTCTCCAAGACTGGTCTGAAGCGAGGTCTGGGATTCGGACTTATATTACTGACGCTGGTTCCCGCCTCGAGTGCGAGCTCATGTCAGAGGGCAAAAAACAAATAATCATGCTTGGGAAGACCTGAGCTTTTTTGGGCAGCTCGGGCTGCCGAAACTGAGACATTGGAGCTGATATTGATGCCCTACGTCTCGAGGTGCCAAGGGTAACCGATCATTGCTCCCCATGGGAGGGTTGCCGGAGATGCAATATTCTGCAGCCAGCCCTGCCTGCCGGATGTCAGCACCCAACTACGATCGTGACTGGTCAGTACATGGCCACTCCTGATCCGCTCAGCCACTGCATGTTTACACAACAGTGTAGCAGACACTTGGCTGATCTTTAATCGCAATCGTTTTCCTGGCAGCTCTCAAGATCCACTTCGGGAGAGCCGAAATCAGGGCCAAGCGGATTACATCGGGCCGCCACAAGACCCATCTGCTCACGGGGTTGGCACGTCGAAACGTGGCATCTGTTCACGGGTTTGGCGCGTCGACACGTGGGCGTCGCCGTAATTTCAAGCGCTACTGAATACCATCCCCGCCTAGCTGTAAGCAAGTATTTGAACATGATGGATTCGGGATAATTCGTCCCCTCAAACTCGATATCGCGGAACAAACGCCTGACATTCGCAACACCCGCTTAGCTTTCCAACGCCAACTCCCACCGACACAGATTTTGTATTTGCAGCACAATGTCGCGATTTCCTGCAACCCCTGAGAATGTCCTTGGGGAGCTCAAGAAACTCTACTGGGCAGCCGTTCAGAAGGAAGTCCAAAACATGATCGAGTTTCACAACGTGCTGAAAACTGCCCATGGCCTTCCCCAGGCTCCGGCCAGTCTTGAATGCGATAACTTTAAGAAGATGTTTGATATCTGGGGTAAGTGTGCACCTCTCTACCTGATCTTGCCAATAATACAACTCAAGCTATACCAGTAGCGCTAATCACTTATGCAGTTGGAAGTCAACCGAAGTTTGATTAAGAACATGTGAATGAGCTAGAAGACAGCGATCACCGCTATGCTCGCCTCATCCTTCAGTCTTCCAGTAAGTATCTAGATAGCAGTCGTGGAGGATGCCTCTAACTCGGAAAGGTATTCTTGATATCGATATCATTTACGAACCAACTCACCTGTCTCAGCGATATCTTAATGTGCAGCTAAATCTTCCCAAGGGTAAGAAGCTACTCCTCGCCTTTTCGTCATGTAACGAGCGGCTCACAGGGTCACCATCTCAGTCGAACAAATCGTAACACAGGATTCGGATGGTCCCTCGCCCCGACCCAAGCTATTCGGCGTCTCGTGTAGCGAATGCCAGCGGCTCATCCGTTCCAACGTCTTCTACGAGTGCATTTGCATGAAAGGCTGCAAGTCCAACGTTTACTACGAGTATTCCGTGGAAGGGTGGCAGCTGTGTGAACTCGAAACAGCCTCCGAGGGCTCCGAGTTCTCTATCTCACGTCGTCGTTCTCGATATCGCCTCTGCGCACCATGCAAGAACACGACAGACAGCTGTGAGGGAGGCCACCATCTCGGTCGGGTTCGCTACAAGGATCCGGCTATCGATGGTCAGCATTGACCCTCCCGCATCCTTTGGTCGTCACTGACTTTGAGTCGTGGTGATAGGCATGGACATTCGGAGGCTGCGGATCCAGCTAAGCGAGTTCGGGAATAAGCACGATCCTAGCAAAGAGGAAAAGCAGGTTCTAGGCCACCAAGGCGCTCCGAGAATGTCACGGAGAGAAAAGTCCGTCATAAAAGCTCTCAAGAACCTACAGGCGAAATGGCCAACGACCCAGTTAGCTCTGCGAAACTTGGCTCCCGCCGGGAACTTCCATTTGTCCCTTATGTTTGGTCCTCTGACTTTCGAGTCTGGCTTACCCAAGTAAGTCGCTCCCTCACGCGGTTGGCGTTCAACTCCTGTCAGTCGCGATGTCTAACGAGTTGAAAACTGCAATTATGACATGTTAATCTAGACGCCGACGATTGCCTTCTTCGTGTGTGGCCCGGTGCTGTCGTGGCTGGACCTGTGCGGAGGGTGTGCGGAGGGTGTGCGGAGGGTGTGCGTCCTGTGTAGGGGGTGTGCTTTGTGTGCTGACTGCGGCGCAGCCCAGGAGCCTCATTTTGCTACCCCGGCTATAGTTGCCGCAGGATAAAAATGGAACCAACCCTGCAGGGGTGCTTTTCTAGACTCTAATT